GATGAACTAATAAATAAAGGAAAGCATAAAAGTATTAACATGCCTCAAAACAAGTTATCATCCCAGTGACGAGCCTGGCTCATCTCCACGCATCGAGTTTGGATAGCTTAACAACCTACATTGCCCTACATTTGATATACAATGTTAAGAGCTGAATTATGCAATCACGACGAAGTCAAGTGCGAACTCATCAATAAGAGAACAATTTATACCTTGAGGATCATACATAACGTTCGTAGATGACCGGTGGATGAAATTGGAAGAAGATAGGTGTTGTGAGAGGGATAATGGTGTTGGGATGGAATATTGTGAAAGAGATATTGGAGTCGGTGTCAACGTGGGTTGTAGTTGTTGTTCGACCGGTTGAACATTGATTCCTTCGTTAACTACATTACGGAGGCTTGATTTCAACCGCTTACTAGTCACATACGTCGATCCACCCTGCATGACATCAAAGGTAATTTGAAAAAGCCGATTTGAAAAAAATAAATGACATCAAAGGTAATTTTCCACTTAATGTACCTTCGCTTTAGTCGATGTCTCCAATGGGCTTTTCCTCCTAAGCTTCCTGGGCGCTCCCTTTCTTCGAGTGTGTTTTGGATCCAAAACGCTAACGCTTGAATTGGTTGCGAAATCATTATCAATGCTGATGAGCTGAGTAGCATGTTGCGAATGAACATTATTACTTCCTGTACTCGATTTCGTGGTTGTAAGCTCTTTACATTGAACCTTTATTTACTCCATTATAGCGCGTGAACGGATTTCATCATCTGCAGCAAGGTTGGCCACCTCGGCGAAACCATTGGACATCTCTTCATATCTTAATTGTGCCGGAGTACTATCTAACCCATTGTAGTGTACTGCAACCCTCGTGTGTGCTCTACGAACATCTCGCCTCCATCTTCGTAGTATGTACCCGTCTGGGACATGTGTCACGTCATTCCGGACCATTACTGTGATCGCGTGTCTACATAGTATTCCCCGAAACTCAAACAAGTGGCAGCTGCAAATGGTTTCGAATGTGTCTCTCCTGAAAGCCATACTGAATGTCTTTCTTCTCCGACAACCATCGTACATAACAGTCTCACGTACTTCATACATCGTTTCGAAACGTCCTTCCAACGTAGACATCACGTCGCAATACACCTTTCCCGTTAACTCTTCTTGAAATTCACGGAATTTTGATATCGTGTAAACTGATTGAAATTGTTGCTCCATTTCAAATTGTGTTGCACATGGTACCATTTGCGAGAATGACTTGAAATCAGCCTGAAACTTCTTCTCAACTTTATTTCTTAAGGCTCGTTCGTATTGCTCCACAAATTGTTTCAATGAGGTTTTTGAGTTTACGTACCCATCGAAGAAGGCATTCATACTCTCACTTCGCTGTGTAGTTGACATCCCAGCCCAGAAAGTGGTTTTTAAGAAGCAAGGAACCCAACATCCTCTATTCTCAAACAATCCCGATAGCTAATCATTATCATGTAACCCATACGTATCAATCATCGTGCTCCAACCGGCTTCAAAATCTTGAATGGATTGCGAATCGTATACCAATATGTGTATAGCCCCAAAAATTGAACCCTTATGCACGTGGTAGCCAAACTTCTCTGGCAATTTTTTCAAGATGTGCCACAAACACCATCTATGCTTTGTATTCGGAAAAACAATCTGAATGGCATTTTGCATTGCCCTATCTTGATCGGTAATAATACCATGTGGAGCCTGACCGTGCATGCATTGAAGCCATGTCTTGAACAACCACACAAAAGTATTTGTGTCCTCGTTCGACACCAAACCACAACCTAGCAGTGTCGATTGTCCGTGATGATTTACTCCTACAAAAGGGGCGAATGGCATGTCATACTTATTAGTGAGATACGTGGTATCAAATGAAACAACATCGCCAAACTCTTTGTACGCCTGCCTACACCGATTATCTGCCCAGAATACATTACGCAGTCGCGACTCCTCGTCTAAATCAATACTAAAGTAGAATCCCGAGCATTGTGCTTGCATTTTTGAAAAGTATGATTGAATTGCTGCCGCATCTCCTTCTCCCAGTTTGAATCGCCTCGATCGTTCTATATAGTTCCGACAATCCTTCTCAATACAAGTCAAGTTCTGATACCCACCCGCTTCTACCACTGCAGAGTTGTAACTTTTATGCAACGGAATTCCTGCCAAATCATTCACCTCAAGCTTCCGTTTCATAGCTGCACTCAATTGTCTGTTGCATCGATATAATCTGGATTTAGAAGGGCTCGTTTCATGATTGTGCTCGAAGTTTACAGCATTAATTCTCCAGTTTCCAAAACTATCAGCAGATGCAGATATCCTGGCCATACAACCCATCTGAACTGTTGGTTGCGGCTTCATAGACCCGCTACTATTCCCGATTCTCCCCCCTTCACGGCTACATGTCAAGGTCAACTATCTTACAGTTCCATCGTCGCCCTTTTTCGAATTTCTTTTCTTAACTGGAAAACCCACTAAGTAAGCATATCTCTTGTAAAAATCATACATATCTTTTTCATTTTTAAACAACATTCCAACCTCCGGCACAATCACACTTACTCCCGTAGATGTTTCACCTTCCACTACGTTGACGGGCTCCATAACATTCTCACTCTCAGATAGCACCAAGACATCATCATGCTTATCTTGCACATCGTCCATACTTTATTCTGTTATGAAAAAAACAACGGTCAATTTTTGTCAACATATAGCACACTTATAATTTCATTTGCTATGTTTAGGTTATAGTGAATGTGGATAGTCATTTCAACTGCGAACGACTTAACTTAAAACATTTAGTGGCCAGAAGAGTTGTTGAACGATTATAACTGTAACAACATCTAACAAAATAAATAAATGCACGACAATTATTTATGATGCCTCTTTGCATGCCGAATTTGGAGCTTCATTGTTTGGCCTATCTTATTTATGTTCTCATATTTCTTCCAGTATAATAAATCAAGCTAAACGTCATAAAACTGACTATAATAATGATAGAAATCGCTAAGAATCTGGACACACAATATGCAGCTCCAAGATCAGGCTACTCTTGTATCCAAAACAAAGTTAATTGAAGAATTATTCTACTTGAACTACTTGGACAGTACTGAAGTGTTACATTTAGTTCAGATTGCATAACAAATCAAAAACAGGAAGAAAGAACACGTTTTCCCTCAATTTCGATTAATCCCCGTGTTGTAACAAAATTAGGTACTGAAGTTTATGCAGTTGAAATTCCTTAAAATTTACCTTTATATGAGTTTCTGATTTGGGCCGACTTTCCAAGGATAGAAGATTTGGGCCGACTCTCCGAGGAAGGAAGCTACTCTCCGACGAAGGAAGCTGGAGGAAAGACGAAATGGGTGTGTGAAATTGGTCGACAATGCCTGCTCTTCACCTGAAATCAGCTAGGGGACTCTGGTAGAAGACGAAAATGTTTGATTTCGGGTGTGATTTTGGGTATCGAAGAGGAAAGTGGACACGGCTGAAGAGGAACGAAGCTGCGGGTATCGAAGAGGAAATGTCCCGCTATTTGCCCTTTCTTTCAATAATGATAGACATACATTTTCCCTCCAAAACTTAAAAAAATCATTTATTTTAAAACCTTGTTTTTTAGTCTGTCTACGAGTCTGTCCAAGTAGAATAATTCATTTGTATTGGAGGCTAGACATTCCATTCTCTTTTCTTATCTTCTCTTCTCAATATCTTACCAGAAACTCCCTTTTTAACATTGGCATTCATAGGCAAAATGATGGGAACCATTTGCGTTTCTATGGTGCTCAATTAGAATAGATTCTTCTAAAACTAGTGAATATGATGATCGAAGATAAGAGAAAACTGAAACCATAGAATTGACTTGAATCCTCAAGTCAAATGGCTATTTTTCAAAAGTTTTCACGGCAGAAAATGGGTTCAAATGGGGAGGGAAAAGGGCTTATGCTTAGCGAATGTCCTTGCTTTCATTTAGAAGAGATCGATTTTATTTCTGAGGAAAAAGATTTTAAGACGAAAACATCAATCGTTTAAATGAAAAATTTGATGGAAATGACCTTTGTGTAATCAAATGTGTTAATAGGGTAAAAATGCAAAAAAATAGAAAGTAATGACATTTTGCACAATAATAATTAATGGTAGAAATGCTTTGTGCTAGTTACCCTCGTTTATTGGAGGTTCAACAAGTTCAAGACAATTAAGTCTCAACTCATCATATTAGACATACACAATCATCATTATCATCATAGACTTGCTCAAAACATATTGGAGTCGGGTTTCATGACATTTATCCTTTTTTCACTTATAAGTAAAACATAAATAAATCGAATATAATTTCTTTTTTGTGAATTATCTCTTCTTCTTTCTCTGGATAGGAAAGAGTAGTAATTTTGTTCTAGAGTGTAGTTTCTCGTGTAACAACATACGAAATTTAGGAGGTTTATATGACACGTGTCGCCACCTTGATTTCGCACGTGAAATCATATATTTTGTGCATCTAAACTTCTGCCAAATTTTCCCGGGTAACCATATCCATTGCAAAATGCTCGCCAACCAAACATATATAAGCACACCGCTGAATCATGCATAGATACACACACAGCCACTCTCTCTCTATATCTCTCTCTCATTTTCTTTCTCTAGAACTCACCCTGTCCCTTAAAAAGCAACAGTCCTCCTTCAATCAAGAAATGGATGTTAAAACGCGAAAAACGCAGTGGGTATGCGTTAGCTTGAAATAGAGTTCGAGATTTCTTTTGAGGTTGGAATAATTTTTTGTGTGTTGAATAAATTTTATTGAGAAAGTGGGTTTGTTTATTTGGTATTTTTTAATCTCTGGTACGAGAAACACAGTATCAATCAAAATCTTGAAAACCCTTTTGAGGGTTTTTAATTGATTGGTACTGTGTGTTTTCAGACAATCATGTAGAGAGACAGACAGAGATTTTTCGAAATACTTTTGATCATCGGAGAAATTGAACGATTTGAAAATGGCGGATATCGAATGCCCATTTGTCAAACGTGACCAATTCGATTCAAACTCATTGCTTGATAATAATCAAGAAAATAAGAGTTTAAAGTTGGAAACAAATGAAGAAACTTATGGGGGTTTGATTCGGGGTTCCGATTCGAATCAGTTGAATGAATTTTCTCCTTCGGATTGGAACAATAGTAAAGGCAGCATTGCTGAGAGAAGGGCTGCAAAATGTGGTTTTAATGCTCCGGAAATAGATGTGTCCCAGTTTATCAATGCCACCACCACCGGAGTGGTGGTGCCGCCAATGGTCCGGTCACCGTGTTTCACCATACCTCCTGGTATTAGCCCAGCCGCGTTACTCGACTCTCCTCTCATGCTCCCAAATGCTCAGGTTCAAAACTACCCATGCCATTTTGATTTCCTTGAATTGTTGATATGTGGAAATTTCTTAATATATTATGCAATACTCGAGAATATTGAATTTTGAAATTTTGGAATTGCGAAAAAAAGGGGGCCAAAAAAAAAAAAAAAAAATTGATAATGCATAATGAAGAACTCTATACTTTGTTTATATCAATAAGGAATCACAATACATATAGAAGGAATTAAATTTACAATATATAAGAGAAGGACAAATGAAAAAAAAAAATGTACATATTAGTGTCGTATCTTGAACATAGGAAAAAATGGCCATTCTGGATTCTATTTTTTTTGGAGGGGGTTGAATAAAAAAACTGGATTCTCATTGTGGCCAAAATTGAAATAGGTATTCTGATGATCGGATTCCAATTCTAGACACCCTTTTTCCATAACCAAACATACGCTAAGAGCATATTCGATCATGGTATTAGACCATACTAGACAGGTCTAAAGGACAATATAATCGACTAACTTTTAGCTTATTTTTTGTTTTTTACTATTATCCGTGGCTGTTTGATGCACTTATTAATTCTGATGTTTAAGGCAAAATGACTACTCGATACCTACCTTTACTTACTGAGGTCAAGTTCACTATATTTTCTAATCATTTACTTGACTCCTAATGCCTCTACATGAGTGGGTTAAGTTGTCTTATTGAACATAGTGTCTTATTTAGTATATTTTACTAAGTGTTGACAATGAAATTTAAATGATATATACATGATCCTCTCAAACAACTTATCTTTCGAGTCAACATGGTATCATAGCTTGCAGTTCAAGTTTCATTGTCACTCATTTAATGAAATTGTGCACGTGCTAGGTTTTGATCAAAATATTAACTCCACCTACACGTGAAGGGACGTGTTAAAAAATAAAAGATTTAAATTATATATGCCTTAACCTTTTTTAACAGCTTTCATATAAAGTGGTTCAACATTAAGCACACAACCCTCTTGATCTCTACAAATTCTACCTGATTAATATTAACTTATTCCATGTGAATAAGTCTAACTCATCGGTAATTATCTCCATTAGGTTGGGTTTGAGTTGCCTTGTTCATAAAATTTCCCATGTGAACAAACCACTCTAAGGATTTGCCTTACCTTGTTCATGAGATGTACTTAGAGCTTGTTTGAGAGGGATTAAAATCAGATTAAAATTGAAAATATAGCCGTTGGAGTTGACTTTTGTTAGACGAGTGGGACCCAATAACGGCTATATTTTCAATATTAATTGGATTTTAATCATTGTCAAACAAGCTCTTAATGAAAAAAATAAAATCAGTTTAAAATTGAAAATATAGCCGTAATTGGTGACTTTTATTAGACGTGTGGGACCCAATAACGGCCATATTTTCAATTTTAATTGGATTTTAATCACGCTCGAACGGGGCCTTAGTAAACAAGCCTACTTGACCTCTAATACCTATGTCGAACTGCAGTTGTGTTGTATTTTCGTCATATTTCCCAACAAACCCACTATCCAACCCCCGTACCTCTACTCAAGTAGTTCGACTTGGCTTGTTCAACATATAACAAACCTATGAGCCTTGTTTTTTTTCTCTTTGCTAATCTGTAGTAGACAAAGTGCAGTTTCATAGTACTTTCCATTCGAAGTCATAAATATGAGATTCTTTGACCTTGTAAGTTGTAAGGTTGAACCAATTTTTTTCTTTTTTTTTTTTGTCAATATTTATTGTCCGTTAACTTCAAAAGGAAACATTAAACTGGATAAATAAGAGAATAGCCAGGAAAATCTGTTGCTTGAAAAATAAATTTTAAGCAACTAATAGAAAGTAAAACATTGCTCGAGAAGTATATATAATGCTGAAAAGTAAGAAGAAGAGATATTAAGATAAAGGATGCTTATTTGGAATTTCTGTGTTGATTAATTTTAAAACAGAATATCGTACTAACGTGATTTCATTATCCTTTCGTTTCTTGACCTTTTTTCTTCTTTTCCTTCTGCAGGCACAACTCTCTCCTACTACTGGAACCTTCCAATTTCCTCCATGCAATCTTGAGAGCTTATTAAAGTTCAACTTCAAATCCAAGGCTCAAAATGACCTCAATTTGGTGTCAACTCAAAATGACCTCAATTTGGTGTCAAATAGGTCGACAGCAGGAGATAAGGTGATCTGATATCAAAGTCATCTATTTGCTACATAATAGTTATACCAAGATCATGGTCTAACAAATTTCTCCTTTTTCTTGTAGTTATACCAATTTGTTTTGAAGCAAAAATCAAATTACATGTTTAATGAAATAACTTGATGGAAAATAATACAAAAAAAAAATGAGGAGATGAAGATGCCTGGGTATATGTTTCCAATAATATATCAACCCTTCAATAAATGGGAAAAGTGACCTATAAACAGCCATTTTTGTCACATAAGGAGTTTTTGTTGTCTCGTGAAGGATTTAATTAGTGAATTTATATCAAATTATCATCTGCCTTTATATCACCACTTTTAATACTGCTTAAACTTTTAAGAGGTGACCTAAAAGTCCTTCACCCTATGCAGCCACCTGAGAATTTTGAAAATTCCTCGCATTCGCTAGATGCTGCTAAAGTGGACTGTTCTGCAGATGCAGCTGCTGAAATTGAAGTGTCACGAAATAAATTCTTGAATGCCGATTGTCCTAGTTCACAGTCGAACATTACTAATGCAGAAAGCGATAATAAAGAAAGTGGCCCCAGTCGTAATCTCGAAAAAGATCCAAAAGCGGCATACTTTTCTAAGGAAGTGTCCAGGAATTCCGAGGATGGATACAACTGGAGGAAATATGGACAGAAACATGTGAAAGGAAGTGAATTTCCAAGGAGTTACTTTAAATGTACTAATACAAATTGTCCTATGAAGAAAAAGGTTGAGCGCTCACACGATGGCCAGATTACAGAAATTGTGTATAAGGGTTCTCATAATCACCCAAAACCTCTGCCCTTTAGGCGATGTGACTTACAAGAGACTAGTGAAGGTAGTGGATCATATTTGAGAGCTGAAGGTAGAACAGCTTGGAGAAACATCATGCCAGGGTGTAGGGATATGCGGTATGGCTCGGATTGGAGGCCTGATGGTTTGGACAGGATGTCTTCCACATCATTTTTACGCGATTTTTCTTATCCACCGTTGTTATCAGAACCAACGAACCTGTTTGAACCAGTAGGAACTCCGCAATTCTCATCTACATTTGCCAGTCGAGATGGTGATATTGATAAAGATGAGGCCACTCTAGACAGCACACCGTTTGTTGATGACGATGATGATAATGATGAATCCGAGCCTAAAAGGAGGTAATAAATGATCGTCTTTACGTTTTTAAAATATTTTTACTTGTTATATGGTAACTAGGCACAAAATTAGGAACTGCCTTCCATTTCAGGAAGAAAGACAGCTTCCCAATTGAAACCACTATATCCTCAAGGTCAACGCGGGAACCGCGAGTAGTTGTCCAGATAGAAAGTGATATTGATATTTTGGATGATGGATATCGCTGGAGGAAGTATGGCCAAAAGGTTGTAAAAGGAAATCCAAACCCGAGGTATGTCGTAGATAAAAATAATTATTAGACAATGTGTAACGGAAAACAAGAAGCATAATAATCAAATCCAGGAATTATTTTTTTCCTTTCTCCTCCCAAATAAAAGCAAGAACTTTATGGTCTTGAATTTTTCTATTTCGCAGGAGTTACTACAAATGCACTACTCCTGGATGCCCGGTGAGGAAGCATGTAGAACGAGCTGCTGACAATTTAAAATCTGTAATCACAACATACGAGGGGAAGCATAACCATGAAGTGCCTTCATCCAAGACTGGAAGCCTTGTGAATTTACCTCCTGCTGTCACTAACAGTACTCAATCTGCCTCATCATCACTGTCTCAGAATCCCGGCATGTCAAAAGCTGGAATGCAGGTTCAAGATCTCCCCTTATACTTGGAAAGGAAGCCCGTCTTGAGTAATGAATACATGAGCTCCAATTTTCCTGGAAATTTTGTCAGTGATATGAACTTTGGAGCTTCTTCCATTTACCAATTCGCATCTCCTCCATTAAATTCCGTACCTTATGGAACTATACTGATGAGCGCCAATGACTTGGATACATGTCAGTCTTCGAATATTCATCCTATGGTATCGGATTACATGTCACTGCCATTACCGATGAATCACCTTCCTCGATCAGGAAACATCCATCCGGGCAATTTTCACTTGGACAATTATATAGTGCCAAGTGGTGCGAATATTCAGTCTTCAATTCAAGGGCATCCAGTCAGAGAGTGCTACGCCAAGATTCTAACGCCGAAAGAAGAGCAGAAGGATAATGACGATGATATATACGGAGCTTGCCTATCCATTCCTGATCGTGCAAATGCAACATCATCGACATGTTTTTATAGGGCTATAGAAAATTTCCCATCTTAACCAACAATTTTTCTCTTGACTCCTCAAAACCAAGTTTAGGATAGCGGGTACCCTCCAGTGATCGTCGAAGGAACCATTCTTTTGCAATTTGGTTATTAACGTGTTTTCCGCTTCATAAGATGCATAGAACTATCTGTAAATATTCTTTTCCCAATCTTTCACATTTTTGTTGTTCTGCAGTGTGAAGTACTTAATGAAGTTTTAGTTTTATGCTGTCTCTCAGTGCCTTTACACGTGCATACATACACGAATAAAAAATGGAGAAGAAGTCCAACGACCGACATTGATATGCATACGCTGGTAGCACATAGAGGTGTCGACTGTGCAGGCTAGACTGATTTGCGGCGATTAGGGGTGTTCAAAAGTCCCGAACCGAATCGGACCGAATTGAACCCTAACCGAATCGAGCGGTTCTTCATAAATTAAATATCTGAACGGGTATTTGAATCGAGAACCAATGGATTTGGGTCGGGTCTCGGGTCTAGACCAAAAACCAAATAACCGAATAAGAACTGAAACTAAATAATTTTTTTTATTTTTTATATTGAATTAATTAAAATTTTTTTATACAAATTAGCAAATTAATTAAATAAATCAAATTATTTCATAATTTTAATTTTAAAGCCCAAATCATTTTTAAAACCCATTAGCCCATTTTAATTTGAAGCAAATGAATATACTTTATGTAGTTTTACTGTAATATTAATATCTACTTTTTTGTATTTGTATGCATTGAATTAATCTTATTGGACGGCTAGTTATTTATATGTTTTTGAATTGGGTTAAGTTAATTTGTAAAAGTTACGAATGAAATGTCATTAGTTGTATTTATGTAGTGTTGTTGTAAATATTAAAAAATTTGATTATAGTACGGAACCGAATCCGAACAGTTCCATAATTATATTTGGACCCTACGGGTCTATTTATTAAATACCTGAAAGTTTTGGGTCGGTTCGGGTATCTTCAGATTCGAACCGAACCGAACCGACCTACGGACAGCCATAGTGACGACATTTCTTTGTGGCTCGTCTTGGCCCATATGGACAAGTGGGATATAGAGCCTGACACAAGACGTTTCATGGGCCGGACTGCATGGGGTGCTGGTGGCTCTACCTAGTTTAACACCTCTAGGAACACTATAATATAGAGAAGTTGGTTCCAAGCTCTTGTTTCAGGTGTGGAAGATGATGTGCTTCATAAAGAGGAAGTTGAAACCATATTTCTGTCACAATTACCATTGCAAGTATTTACATCTGTATGCTATTGTGCAAAGTGCATTTTAGTCAAGGTTTATGACTTTATCTAGTTACATGGAAACAAGAAAAGGATAGTTTGTAATCGAGAAAGGTGACTTGCTCTAGCTCGATTGATCACCAACTTTTGACGTTGAAAGTTGTTGTGAGCCTAATGTATCATCGGATCCTAGTATCCTTTTTTTTTAGAGTATGGAGACCCAAATTATGTTTGGCTAGCTCAAAAAGTTCGTGATGCAACATATTTGGTAAAACCAAAAATGAAAATTACATGGACCCAGAATTTCACTATATGACATGTATTATTGACTTTTGCACCCATATCTGGATTGCCGTTGAAGCGGGTGTCTAGACTTGCACGAATATTACAGTCTCCGTTTGTTTCTAACGAAGGGAATCAAAGCAAGAGTTCGAAAAATATTGTCGTTTTTCGATATTACAATCAGTATCCAGATGATCTTAATGTTGCGGCATTTAAGAGTTGGTTTCATAAATGTTACAAACCAACAAATAATTTAGACCCATTGCAAATGAGTATAAATAATTTGTTAATTTTTTTTTACAAGAAAAATTTAAAAATGCTGACGATGCTATTAAGCCCCCTTTTTACATTGGTTCGTTCATTGTAGATAACAAAACATGGTGGCATAAGCTCGTTTCTCCAGACGCGTCATTGACCAACTCGGTATGCCAAGATTACATATCTACATATGTACGATATCATTTATACTGTATCGCATACTGTAGGTCATATACTATGTAAACAAGTCACAGACATTATGGTCTGATCACATAAATTACCTATAGGTTACATAACCCATGGACAAGTCACATTCACATACAAACATTAATGTTCAACAGTCACAAGTCATATAGGACTGTTCATATTCACATCACATGTCAATGCAATATGCCACAAGTTACATACAAATATAGATCACATGTTTATTATTTTCTATTGTGACATCAAATGGATGCATGCTTTTATTACCTACGTCAATTGGCAAGATATGGCAAGAATGTCAAGTTTAAGGCTAGCACAACTGACTCGTACTTTCAGGCGACGAATAAAAATGTATATCCGAAATTCATGAAGGATCCAAATGTCCTACTCACTTATACAAAGTTGATTAATGATATCAAAGGTGTCAGAATACCATTGAGCAGTTCATGGAATGAAGTGAACTAAGTCTTAATTCCAATTTTGCCTGCAAACAAGGCACATCGGATGTTGACGTTGCTTGATATTAAAGATCAAGCATTGTTTATATTCATTTTGGCTAGAAGGACCTTAAGAGTGAAAAGGGGAATTAAACCATATTTGAAAATCGTCCATCACTTGATGAATGCAATTGGAATATGAAATAGAAATTCAGAGGATGATCAAGGTGATTTTAAGAAGTTAAGGTTTGCGCTAGGTTATGAGGGGCTACAACAACAAAATGGGTATGTTTGTGACGATCATTTTAACTAATCAACTGTCTAAATAAATATTCATATAGTGACCACCATTTTAATGTAAAAACTAATAAACTTTCTTTTTTCAGTCATGATTGCGGCATATTTGTGATCAAATATGTTGAATACATTTTTCATAATAACTTAGAATTCATGCCAAAGGATTTTGATACTACTAGAGCTCAACTGGATATAACTGTACTACTTTATAAGCACCATCAAATCAAGAAGGCCACCAAGGTGTTAAATAAAAATGTTAAGGGGATATAGTTATAAATTGAAAGTTGGATATGTGACTGAATATTGATGTACCTATGTAGTGGAAAGGGAATATGTAGATCTCATTTTGTAATGATGATTACATTTGAAGTTTATAAATGTTCGTGTGGTTATGAAATCTGATTTCATTAGTTATGTCTATTACATTTCATCAGTTATCTTGAATTAATATATAGATTCTTATGTTGAATTCATAGAACCCTGTTTTCAAGTCACATATATGTACTATTTACAGGTCATAGCTTAATATATTATACTTACATGTCATTATTCTAAAGTGTGAAAAAATAACCATTGTATACAGATCACATATTATTTCCTTCATGTCACATGATAATGTTTAAAGGTCACAGATCACTACTATGAAAGTTTACACATCACGGTTCACTAATGTGTGCATGTCACATATTATTTCTTTGAAGTTAGAGATTATTGTTTATGAGTCACAGATCTATAATTTATAGTCACATATCATAATCTCGCGTTACACATCTAGTTTTAATTAATTTATATATGTTCCATATTATTTACAAGCCAGAGATCAATTCACAGAATAAGTCATATACAGAAATATTATTGTCAACATGTCACAAATTGATCCAAGTCACAATTTAATAAATATCATGTCCTATATCAATACCCAAATCTATAGATTTCACATCGGTTCTCAAATGGTTAAGTCACATTCACAGTTCGAATGAATATTATTTGAACGAATAACAATGTACAGTTACATGATATATCTAACATTATCCACAACTAATGAGTAAAACAATAAAGAGAACAACAAACTTAAATTGTATAACTATGATCAATGTGTATCATCAATTGACATCGTATTATTTTGTTGTAACTATGATTTTTTTTTTACTTAATGGAACCAAGTTGCTATACGTCCTACGGCTGTGACCATTTTCACAACAACATCCACATTTGATAGTTAATTTCCTTTCACATGATGATCTCTTCTTCTTTTGTATAGGTCTTTCTGAACTTCTTTTTTGGTTAGGTACTAATACAATTATGTTTACTTCATTAGGCACTCTCTAGTCAGTTGGATTTCCAATTGGAAAAATAGTATCCTGGTACGCATTCATGTATGCCTCTCGTGTAAATAGTATGAATAATAATTATATGGATCTATCTTCATCATTACAATGAGAGTCAATGCTTGTGAACATGGTAACTGATCTACCTGAAACATCCTACATGTACATGTACATTGTTCTATATCAACGATGAAAGATGAGCATTCGTCACTTACAAAAAAACATGGTGTGATTTACAGGAGATACCGCAAATAATGACTGTTAATTCACATATATTAAGTATATGAAATAGAGATGGAGTTCAAACACAAATAAGAACATATGTGTATTAGGTAATAGATAGTATGTTGAAGTAGCTAGAAGTTAAGGTTACATATTTTAATGAGGGTCACATAGATGATATTAAGGTCACAGATATCAATCTTACCCTCAAATTTCTCAAATCAGTGCTCATTTCTCGAAACATTTTTTCGTACTTGCTCGATAACTTCGTAAAAGTGCCATGCGCTGTGTCTTTATATTTGGGGAACCAAAATTGTATAGTTTGAGGCAATGAATCCAATAAAGCTATAATTGGGTAGTTCTTGCCTGCCTTTGTGACTGCATTTACTGACTTTACTATATTTGATGTCATTGTTGAGAATTTGTTAGCTGGTACGTGGAAACATGACCACTTTTCAGGTCCCTTTTCGACCTACAAAAAAAAAAACATGTTTTGAGAAATGTTATTTCTGACATTTGTGACCTTTATTAGAATGTATATTTTGCTTGAAATTAATATATTACCAGATAATCCGTAATCTTATGATTCATTGAAGCCAGTTGTTGAATGTTATATTTGAATTCACCCAATGTATATGCTTGGACTGCTGAATTGAATGTATGCATTATGTTGTGACCTGATTTTCTATAATATGATTTCAGATTCTGTAGGAGATGATATAAACATATCCCATGATAA